TAGTAGTATATGTGGAGCCCCCCTAAACCCTAAACCCTAAACCCTAAACCCTAAACCCTAAACCCTAAACCCTAAACCCTAAACCCTAACCCTAAACCCTATACCCTAAACCCTAAACCCTAAACCTCAACCCTTCTTCTCTGGATGCGTTCGACACGGCGGCTCAAGGGCATCAACCGGCCAGCAGCTCACAATTGCGCCAGGTCCCTCCAGAGAGGCTCTAAAGCGTAAGCCATGGGAGCAGGTGGTGACACTGTGGACAAGGATGGGATTCGGGATTTAGCTTAAACTCTCTAAACCGTTGGGTACTATAGGTGGGCTTAGGGCAGGGAGTACCCAGGGACTCCAATATCCCTTAATTAAACCTTAAATCATGTTAGGGATCCTACTATAATTTAAGGTATATTCCTTAATTAAGGGATATTGGAGTCTCTGGGTAACGGGTTAAGAGACTAAAACAACAAAAGTGGCCTAGACCCTGCGAGCCGAAACTGGGACGATGGTGTTGTACCGTATTTCGCTTCATTGGCAGGCAGAGCCGTGCTGTGTCCGGAGACAAGTGGTGCAGCCGCTAATGAATTGCTTCCCAGCATGGTATATGGGCTACCCCAACTGTTGCACAGTATGAATGCATTGAGACATTCCCCAATACTCCCACAGGCTTGCCTGTTCTTGTCTTTGACTTCGGTATAACTGAATTCCGAACACTTCAGCGTTCATCTCTCAGCATCGGCCTAGACCCATAAACCCGGCCGGGCCTTCATATTTAGGGGTTTTTTACAGGTTTAGTAATGTTTAGGGTTTAGGGTGTTTAGGGTTTAGGATTTGAGTTTCAGGGTTTGGGCTTTAAGGTTCGGCTGGAAGCTGGATGTATGGCACAGGACCCAAGATTTGGTGTCGATAGCCCTGGGCCGCCACATCTATGCATTCCCGAGGATGTGTAACGAACGGTAGGGAGAGTGCGGAACAGGACAGCGTCTTCGCCAACTACAAGTCCGTGTTTTCACGCCAGTTTGCTGTATCCTTGGCTGTGGAGTTTCTGGGTGTGATGTTCTTCCAGATCATTGGCGGAACTTCTGCTCCCGACTTTGCTCCTTTTGTCACTGGGCGCCCAGTAACACCCGATTGCGATCTTGATTCTTGGGGTTCCAGAATCATGTTAAATCTCAATGCAAAAAGGAGCCCTGTATTCATGCAGTTCCTGGGTAACCTAGGTGAATGGCTTCGCGCTGGCCGTGTGGATCTATGTCGCCGCAAACATCAGTGGTGGCCACCTGAACCCAGCCGTGAGCTGCAGCACCGCAGTTTGCGGCTTCTACCCGGTGATCCACACTGTCATCTATGTCATCCTGCAGATTCTCGTTTAGGGTTTGGGTTTCTTGATTTGGGTTCTGGACGAACTTGTTCCACCCTAAACACCAAGCGCTAAGACCCTAAACCGTAAACCGTAAGCAACTTCGAGTTACTAGCAAGGTGTCTGAGACCTCCTTCGATCGAGAAGGGACGGGTTTAGGGTTTAGGGCTGGGGTCAGGGGTTTAGGGTTAGGGGGTATGATCTTTTCCTTAACCGATTGGCAACTTCCCCTTGGCATTAGAGGCCTTCTATACAAAGCGTCGGTTGAGGTAGGTGAGGGTTCCTGGCATGGCGGCTATCTCTATACCTTAACCTACCAAAACCTACTGTTTTGTAGGGTCCCTATAAGTTCCATATTAGGGTTTATAATGCGAACCTACAAAAAAGTAGGGTTTGGTAGTTTAAGGTATCAAGAGAACCCTAAACCCTAGACCCTAAACCTAAACCCTAAACCCTAGACCGAGAGCTCCAAGGATTGTGGGCGCAATCGTTGGTGCATGGGTCTCGGCGGGGCTGGTACCTGGTGCTGGCGACCTGATCGGCACTGGCGGAACTGGCCCTGGCTGCTTCGATCGTTCCGTCATCCATGCAGACATCACGGACGCGCAGGCGGGCTGTCGCACCGTGCTTATACAACAAATCGTTTCTTCTCCTGTAATTCTGGTCTCCATGCAACTTCTCCTCAAACAGGCATTCTCCAAGTAACCCCGATCGGTTTAAGCTGTCGAGTTTAGGACTTAGAGTTTATAGAAAAGCCGGGGCTGATGTTCATCTCCAGGTTTTCGGCTGGGAGTGCGTCATGACCTTTACACTGATCTCTTGCGTCTATGCCTGTGGTGTCGCCAAGCCAGGCGATCATGGGGGACAAAAAAACACCCACGAATCACCCTTACACCCTATGCCCTAATCCCGAAACCCAGAACCCTCCGTATCAGAATTTCCTTAGCCGCAAGCCTGAAACCCTAAACCCTCAACTACTTTCAGCTGTAAGCCTTGAATGCTGCTCCAAAGCCTTAGCCGCACTCCCCAAACCCCAAAACCCCATCAACCCTGATCTCTATAGACCCTAAGAAACCCTAAACCCTCAACCCTATTGCAGGCCATGGTAGCCACACGCCCTTTGCTGTGGGTCTGGCGCTGCTGGCCTGCGCCGGATCCGGCGGCCAGTACACCGGAGCGGCTCTGTGCCACGGCTGGGTTTAGGGTTTAGGGTAAACTTAGGGTTTAGGCTTGCGGTTGAAAGTTCAGGATATGCTCCCTAAGCCCTAAACCCTCAGCTTTTGGCATCGCCAACTCGTTCGGTTGATATACGAGCTTTTGCAGCTGTGCGGATCCGGGCTAGCTACTATTGGGGTCGTAATGATTAGAATAAGGATAAGGGGTTTATTATATTTTTTTCCATACTGATTATAGGGAGCCCCCAACAGAGAATTTGTAATTATTTCGGCCCCTATATAACCCCAACCAATGCACACGGCTTCAGAAGCTGTAGATGCAGGGTTTAGGGTTTAGGGCGGTTGATGATACAAATCCTGCTAGCCTAATTCCTATATAGTTAGGGTGCTTGAGGTAATGCAGGATTTGTATCATCAACAGTATGACCCTAAGCATATATCTCCATTTAGTTGGCTCCTCCTTTCAAGTAGCTCCAAGGATAAGATTCCCAACTCTACGAATCCTCCAAGCCATGAAAGCTCTGAAAGCCCCAAACAAAGATCTCTAAACGAAAACATACAGTACCTATAGTCTCCATTGTGGTTCCTTATTTAGTTGAACCAGTTCTATATTGAGGAGCCTAAAGCAAAGAGGAACTACAATGGAGACTCTAGGTAGAACCCCATGAATCACAAGACCACAGCAGCTCATCCTGGAATCCTTTTCTTTCCCAGGAATCCAGCCCGAGTCCTGGGACCCATGGCGGTGTTCCATTGTGGCACCGATGTGGCCGGCCTTTACATCGGAGGTGCTGCTTTATGCGCATCGCAAGAGCCTGTAGGGCCACGCTGTAGGGTGAAGCGTTTGAGCTCGAGGGGGTTTCGGATCGGACTGTTCGTGCCCGGGCTTCTGAGGATGGGATGGGTTGCAGAATCTCACGACTCACAGCATCACGCCCCTAAAATTGCATGGCTCGACCTGCACTTTAAGCGCGAGTAATGCCTGCGAAAAGCCCAACAGCCTCTACAAACCTGACTCCCTAAACACCAACCTGTAAAAATAACAACACAACTTAACCCACACCCCTAATTCTACCGCCTCCAACCCCGAACAAGAGTAGACCCTAAGCCGTAAACCCTGAACCCAAAACCCTAAGCCTATCCTGAACTCAATGCTAAGCCCGGAAGCCTAAACCCGAAGCCCTGAATACCAAGCCCACCCCTACAGTAACCCGTTGAGGGAATCCCACGTAAGCCTATTCTACATTTTGATTTTGGGCACCCTGCAGATCTCTTTGAAGGAACCCTTAAAGATCCCATTCTAGGAACCTCTGAAGATCCCCTAAAAGGAACCCTGAAGATCCCATGTAAGGAACCCTGAAGATCCAATTTAAGGACCCTTGAAGATCCCCTTAAAGGAAAGCCCTAAACCCAAAACCCTAAACCCTAAACCCTAAACCCTACCCTAAGCCCTAAACCCTAAACCCTACCCTAAACCCTATTCTAAAAGTTTGACCTGTCGAAGGCCAGGCGTTGGCAGCAGTTCTCGCGATGTCTGTCTTTGCCTTCGTCTCTGGGTTCGGTCCGCAACTTGCCTCGAAGTTCGGGTTCTCCGAGTTCTATAAGTTAAGGCTACTATAAAGATATTTAAGTTAAGCCTACTATCGTACTAGTACTTACTTCAGTTAAGGCTACTATATGAATATTTATGTTAAGCCTACTATAATAACGACAATACTTAGTTAAGTTAAGCCCACTGTAAGAATACTTAAGTTCTGCTTACTATAACATTTTGTTGGAGTCCTGGGGTTCTATGATAAGGATTACTTTCGGGGTTCTATTTGGGTGGGTGTAGGGGTTCGTTCTATAAGGGTCCTACTGTAGAAGGCGCCGGCTTCCACGTTTGAGATGTAAGCTGCGGTTTAGGGTTTAGGGTTTAGGTAAGCTGCAGAGCTTGATGTGCAGACCCTCTGCCCGAACCCATGAAATCCCTCAGCCCTTGACCTCTGTACCTTGAACTCTTATAAACCGTGAAACCTCAACCCTAAACCCTATAACACCGAAACCTTTGAGGAAACCCGAAACCCTAAACCCTAAACCCTACACCCCAAACGCTAAACCATAAACCCTACACCCTAAACCCTAAACCCCAAACCCACTAAGACCCTGAATGGCAGGCTGAACCCTTGGATGGCGAAGCGCGCCTTGAAGCTATCCTGGCCAGAGGCTCCCTTTGGGTTAGGGCTTGGGGCTTTGAGGTAGGCTTTAGGGGTTTAGGGCTTAGAGCTTTAGGGTTTTGAAGATTTAGGGCTTATATAGAGGTTTGGGGCTCATCGTTTTAGGGTTTAGGGCTTTGGTTTTTCGGGTTTTAGGGTTTAGAGTTGTCGGGTTTGGCGTTTGAGTTTTGCGCCTGCTCCAGAACCACCACTTTAACGTGGATGCCTACTATAGTATAGTAGCGTGTGGCATGGTATAGTATACTACACTATACCACTAATATGTCTTAGGAGTATGTCATAGTACTGAACCCACAATCGGCCCGAAGCAAAACCCCTGAGCCGCGAACCCTGTACAACCCTTCATAGAAATACTGAAACCCCCCTCTTGAGCAAAGAGCGGTAATCAGAACCCTACAAAACCCTTAAGCCCGAAATCCAGGAGTCTTACCCTAGACTCTTAAGCCCTGGACCCAAAATCATTTGCTGGAGGCCATTTACCTCTGGATCACGGGTTCTCCTCCAAGCAGACTGCAGAAGACAGGCGAGAGCCAAGGGGAAGTTTGGGGTTGTTTCCTGAACCTTGAAGAACCCTAATATAGGGCCCTAACAAATTACCAATACATTTTAGGGTTTCCTTATTATGTGTATAGTCTAATCTTCCCCAAAACCCTATTCGAATTATCAAGGC